AGATGTAGATCATGATTCAGTAGGCCTGAGGTGGGCCTGGGAATCTGCATTTCTAACAAGCTCCCAGGTGATGCTGATGCTGCTGGTCCACAGACCACACTTTGAGGATCAGACATCTCTCAAATATCAGATGTCTCAAATGGGCTTATGACAGAGGTTGAGGACAGAAAATTCAAGACTAGGGTCCCTATCATGTACCTTAGGTACTGGCATCTTTGTTATTGGTGGAAAGGAAAATCTATAACCTATCATGGTAAATAGCAAAGCGGGTGTGTTTATCTGAGGGATGAGAGAGGTGGAAAATGAAATGATTGACTTTATATTGTTGCCTATTCTAGTTAGGCTCTTTTTACGGGAAACTGAGACTTTTTTAAGTGACTAAGAATAGGTTGGAAACCCTGGTGGTTTAGTGGTTAAGAGCTACGGTTGCTAACCAAAAGGTCGGCAGTTCAAATCCACCAGGCACCCCTTGGAAACCCTGTGGGGAAGTTCTACTCCGTCCTATAGGTTTGCTCTGAGTCAGAATTGACTCCATGGCAATGGGTTTGGTTTTCTTCTTGGTTGAGAACTGGGTGGGAGCAGGGAAATGGTGGTAGGTATTGTGTGGAAATGAGGTCAGGAATTGAAGTGGTAGCCCTAAAGCTGTTAAGAACTAAGGGAGCTATAAGGACCAGCTCCACCACCCCTCTGTCCGTTTATCCACTGTGGTGGCTAGTGTATTGCTATGATGCTGGGAAGCTTTGTCACTAGTATTTCCAATACCAGCAGGGTCACTCATGCTGGACTGGTTTCAGCAAAGTTTCAGACTAAGAAGAAAGGCCTGAAGATCTACTGAAAATTAACCAATGGAAACTTATGGATCATAATAGAACATTGTCTAACTTGCTTGCCTTGGACACATCATCAGGAGGGATCAATCGCTGGAGGAAAACATCATGTTTGGTGAAGTAGAGGGAGATCCTGAGCAAGATGGATTGGCACAACGGCTGCAACAATGAACTCAAACATGCTGGCGATTGTAAGGATGATGCAGGATCAAGAAATGTTTCATTCTGTTGTACACAGAGTCACCGTGAGCTGGAATCCACTCCATGGCAGCTAACAACGAAAACAACAAAGGACCAGCTACCTTTCTCTAACTTCCTATAATTGTTTCTCATTGCGTATCTGCTCCATCCTCCTCTCACTGTTGAGTAGTTTATTCTGTCTTTCTCCCTCACAGCTCCTACTTACTCCCACTTTCTGTACCTCTTACCCTCAGCTTGTGCATGGGCTCTACCTCCCAACCAACCTTTAGCATCAGCCATTATTACCAAAAGCTTCGTCTTTTTTCTAAACATACATTTCAAATTCTTGAGAAGAGGAATTTGGCATAGCATGCTTTAGGATACTGGGGAAAGCACAGCTTTCAGATTCAATCAATGTTAATGGGGAAGGGGCAGGTTTGAGTGTTTGATGCCTAGAAAAAGAAATATAGCTGTGGGCAGGACAGCCCTGGGTAGAGGTCTTTGGGGAGCCAAGTGTTCTGTGGCTTGGTCCATTTCATTCATTTTCTTAATGAAGGTCATCTCTCCTCTACAGGGAGTGATTCAGACACAGCATGACCTTCAGGAAGGGCCAAGAAACAGAGCATGTGCTTTACTGTTCTCTCATCTCTTTATACCGAGAAGCCAGCCTGATAGGAGTATTTCACAACAAACACCCCTAGTTGTGGATCAGTGAAAGGAATCAATTCAACTAACATAACTTTGTTTAAACCAAACCACCACAGACTTGCTTTGTATTTTAGAGATATCTTCATTTATTTTAATTCAATGTAGAAAAAGTTTATTTAAAGAACCTAATCTATCCAAAATATCGTCTCATAATGACCCTATGAGACAGAGTGGAACTGCCCTATAGGATTTTCTAGACTGTAATCTTTACAGGAGCAGATTGCCAGGTCTTTCTCCAGCAGAACTGCTGGGTGGGTTCGAACCACCAACTTTTTGGTTAGCAGCTGAGCGCTTAACCATTGCACCACCAGGGCTCCTTGCATAGACCTTAGGTGATACAAATACAGGAGAGGGAATTTGGGTATGTTTTGGTGAAGGCCTAGGGTAGGGAGCCCCCTTCTGCCATCTTCAATCAATTTCCTCCCTACTGAAATACAACTCCCTCACTTCTCAGGCCTCTCAGAGTGTTTCAAAAGCAAGATGTTCAAAGGCATATGTTTGACCTGCCATCTAATTATAGGTAGTGTGTGTCCTCATGTGCATGTTCCCATGTGCTAGGAGCAAGGAATGGAGGGATGTTTGAGAAAGATGATAAACTAGAGGACAAGAGCAAACCCCAGCCTCTCGTGTCTCATCTCCTTTCTCCTTTCTGTATTGTTTGTTCAGGGGAAGAAGAAAGAGCACACTCCTCCTCACTCACCCCCCTCCCCACACACGCTTGTAATGAGCACTGTTTTCAGTTTTTATTTGCTGATCAGTAAACCCAAGAGTAGGGCCTCTTCTGCTCCCAGAGATAAAGAACTGCATGCATAACTGGTCTCTATCCGGTTGAACAAGCACTGGTTTCTCTTTGTTTTTCATGGTGTTTCTGAGAGATAAGAGGAAACCACCCAGACTTGATGCATGACCAGGGGATGTTTTGAAATAATATTTTATAAATGTATTCCCTATTCTAAGCTGTGGAATAGAGATGGGAAGAAAGGGGGTGGAATCACATGTAAGTTGATTTTTAGGGGGTCAAAAACAGCATGCAAACATACAAACACACACAGACAGAAAGAAAATATAAGAATAAATGTTCAACTGAGAAAAGAATGAGCCAATTTTCAGTTGCAGACACTGAAGCCAAACAGGGAATTTTAGTAATTCAAATGAATACATAACCCTGAAAATTCAGTGACCTTTTCATACCACAAAAACTACCTGTATCATATGAATTCATGATCAGTACTGGGCAGACAGGACCTAAGTACAATCAAAGAGCAAGATACATTCCCAGAAAGATATGGGATGGTACCAGGATAGAGTCCTATTAAGTGCATGCCTGTCAAGGTTCTTGGCAGGTTGCTGAGAGTGGGCTAGGATGGAAGGGTTGATAGGAGACTAAGGACACAAGATTTTAAGTAGAGTGAGACTAAATTTAAGATCGGTTGGTATTGATAAAAGCACAAACAGTACAGTGTTTTCAATAGTGGACGAAGTTTTGGGTAGCAATTTGAATAGATCAGACTAGGACATCATTTAGGAGAAACTTACTGTTAAGCTAAGAAAAGACCTGAGGCAGCGCCCTTAAACAGCAATGGGAAAACATGGGAAGATAGGGTCTTCCGGAACTTTATGCACAAAGGAAGAATAAACTCAAGAGACAAATATAGATAGCTAAAAAAGGGGAAATTTCAGTTGAAAGCCGTGGCATACTTGGTTCTGAGCAAACGGAGATGGAAAACGAAGAGAAAGTAAAATCTTATTTCAAAAGGAATTGGTGGGTCCAGTGTGAGCTATCTGGCAGGAAAATTGGATGTGTGAGTCTTAGAAGACAGGCCAAAATCAAATGGACTTTTCTTTGATCCCAGATTCATTCATCCAAACCAAGGCTGAACTTCAGGTGACCTTTTCTCTCTCTCTCTTTTTTAACCTGACCAGTACTTTTCCCGAGCAGGTCTGCTTTTTTGGAAGGTTGGCTCCATGAGAGCAGAGGTCTTATCTCTCTTGTTCGTTGTACTATCTATAGGACTTAGACCTGGGTTGTCTGGCATATAATAGGGACTTAAGAAATAATCATGAAAGGAGGGAAGGGGAGGCAGGGAGGGAATAAAAGAAAGAGGAAAGGGGGAGGGGGTTCTGCTTTTCATACCAGTTAAAACCAAACCGGTTGCCTAGAGTTGACTTCAACTCATGACGACCCCATGTGTGTCAGAGTAGAACTGCACTCCATAAGGTTTTCAATAGCTGATTTTTCAGAATTGGATCATCAGACCTTTCTTCCAAGGCACCTCTGGGTGGACTTGAACCTCCAACCCTTTGGTTAGCAGTTGAGCAAGTTAACTGCACCACCCAGGGACTCCTCATACCAGTTTATTTACTCATGCATCAGTTGCCAAAGGCCCTTTCAGATTCTATATTAGTCGTCAAGCATACCAAAATGATGAGATGCCACAGTCCTTACCCTCAAAGAACTCATAGTAGAGGGATAGACACAGAACACCAGGTGATAAGTGCTATACCAGAGAAACAGGCATGGTGATATGGGGAGTGTGCCAAAGAGCATGTAATCTGCCCTGAGAAAGGGTGGGAGGCAGAACACGTGGCAAAACTGAGCAGAATCCTAATAAATGCAATGATGCTTTGTAGGCTCAAGATTGTTTTAATCTCTACAGTCCCATGGCGGACTGTAGCTAGGTTGAATAAATCATGGAAGACTGCAAGTCATTGCATTTTAGCCATTATCTCTTCAGCGTCGTTTTGATGCTACACGTTATTTTGTGTTGGTGCTATTGGACTTTGATTTCATTCAGGGAATGCAAAAGGCTAGAGTGAGACTGTCATGCAGCAGCTTGTCCTAAGAATTATGACTTTATAAGCACAGTCTAAATGATTCAAATCGAAGGCCAGTTATCTGGGCCAGACCTGCACCATACCCTGTGAGTAACAGCTTAGTTAAGCATGATCGGTTAGCAGCGCCATTTATTCTTTTTGGAGCAATTTCTTGGTCCTGTGGCAAGGATTAATGATATACCAGCAGTGAGGTGGTCTTTGCATTTTATAACAGCCTATAGCAGTAAAAGTGTGTGTTTTCCATCAAAACAGCACACTTTCTGAAGCGGGTAGATAAATGTAACAAAAGGAGGATCAGTGTTTTATGGTCAGCTAAGCTTATTTACGGAATGCATTATCACATAGGAAAAGGATTCTAGGGATATGCTGACTTTTTAAGCAAGAAAATCTAGTATCTGAGGGGAAAAAAATATGCTGCTTTGACTTCTGCTTCTTGATTTCCTTACTCAGGTGCTGACCCCCGCGCAGATCAAATCAATTTGCCAGGCGATTCTGGACTCTGGGAAGCAGTATGCCATAAAAAAGAGAAAACCATTCCCCCTGATGTATTCTTATTATGGAACTGAATACTTGGGTGAGTAAAAGTTTTGGCAAAGACCTATAGGATGAAGTGGGTGTCTAATATTAACGTTGAGTGAAGATTGAGGTTTTGGTTTTGACATACGTTATCACTACTCATTTAAATACCTTAAAAATAAATATTGATAGATATTGTTGTTATTTTTAGGCACCATCGAGTTGATTTCGACTCATAACGACCCATGTGACAGAGTAAAACTGCCCCCTAGGGTTTTCTAGGCTGTAATCTTTATAGAAGCAGATTGCCAGGCCTTTGTCCCGTGGAGCCGCTGGGTGGGTTCAAACTGCCAACCTGTTGGGTAGATACTACAAATCACAATTTAATATCTGTTTTCATCGTCTACCTGACAGAAATGTAGCTATTGTTAACAATTATTAACTTTCACTAGAAGCTAAAATCCTTTTTTTTTTTTTGGATTGTGAGTTCATTGACCTAAATTTGCTGAAATATTGAGAGCAGTTTTCACACTCATTGCAAGTAGTGCCTCTGAGCAGGTAAATAGGATGCAGCCACTAACATTTTTCAAGTAGTTTATATTAATGGATTAACAACAGACTACTGAATCACAATGACTGATTTTAAGATATGAGTCATATAAAGGGTAAATTAGTCACTCCTTTTTTGAGTCCTTCAGTGGGTCTCCGTCTCTCCCGAGCAAGGCTTACAAGGCCCTTTATGATCAGAGACCTGCCCCCTGCTCCAGACTTAGGTTTCATCTCTCTCCTTCCTGGAACTGTCCAGCCCAGTGTCCAAGAAGTGACATGTTCCCATACCTTTGTATCTTTGTGCATGTTCCTTCTGCCAAGAGTATCTCGCACCCCACCCCTTCATTCATCTATAATACTTATACCTAGACTTCAAGACTCTGCTCAAATATCAGATTTGCTGAGAAACTTTCTGTGCTTTTGGAAAAAGGATTTGTCAAGCCCTTTCTGGAGAAACACTCACACTTTTCAGGTTTTCCCCTGAAGCAAAATTGGGCAACACACCACCCTGCCCACACTTCTATTGGAGTCCTTGTCACATCACGCTATAATTAGTAGCTTACCTGTCCAACTGCCTTAGCAAGCTTTGTGCACCTTTAGGTTAGGGACTTTATCTCATTTATCTTTGCAATCCCTAGACTTTTACTATAGAGCCTGCACATATTGGGGTGCCCAGATGAATGAATAAATGACTAATGAACAACTTCAGCAATTCCCTGAGCGTTTTCTCCAAGAACCATTAAGTTCCTGGCTAAGTTTCCCCAGAAGCAGACTCTGAGATAAGGATTTGGGTGTAAATGGTTTATTAGAGAGATGACCCCAGAATGTTGATAGAGGATTTAGAGGAGTAAGGAAACTGGGCAGGGAAGGTGTACTAATGAGCAACTGTGGGCAACTGAGGCTCAGTCTCACTGGGGACTCTGAGAGACTGTATAGAACGTACCTCAGAATTGTCCCCATCCAAGGAATGAGGAAGCTAGGATATTCATTCACCAACTCCCTGCTTTATAGGTGGAGAGCTGCTCCCAGATATGTTAATCCCCTAGCATTTGGGCCCTGCCCCTGTGGTCTGGGCACACTCTTATGACCAGAGAAAGCCTCAGGCAGAGTCATAGGTGCTGAGGGTAGGAGGCAGACAAGAATGGTGAGTGTGAATGAGGTGGTAGACTAGGCACTGACAGTAAACTCTCTATTGCCCCTAGTAGAGCTATGCCTTGCATTTTTCGAGATCTTTAGAGAAATTAACATTCTAGCCATTTACATAGATAGCACCAAGCTGATTCCTGTCTAATGCATAAATATTTTCCTAGAAAGCAAACTTTTTTTCTAAAAATTTCAAACCCAGTGAAAGAAAGTCTAAATTTTTAAGAAGAATAGAATTTTTGACCCAATACAATTATGAGGCTGTTTCTGAGCGTTCAAGAGTATGGCAAAGTAAAAGGTGCCTGAGTGCAAAGAGAAAGCTTAACACATACAGAGTTGCATTTAAAGAGCAAACCCTCAGACTAGATTGACCCCGACCCAGCACCACCCACTAATCAGGATTCTACTAATTGAGAATGAATGACAACTCTTACAGAGGTTGGGCCGACTTTTCCCTTTGTTAAGCTAACTCCTTCTACTAAGTCAGGCTCAGGCCTTTACCAGTTCAGTACCCTCTCCACCGGAGAAAGATGTGGCAGTCTGCTTCCGTGAAGATTACAGCCTTGGAAACCCTATGGGGCAGTTCTACTCTGCCCTATAAGGTCACTATGAGTCAGAATCTACTTGATGCGACCCTCTGCTGGAACTCCTAGGAATTCTTCCAAACTTTGCTAAGATGACACTACCTGTGTGGAACCTTCAGTGGCCCCCTCCTTCACCCCACACCCCCTCCAGGCCAAGTTAAGTTTTCCATTCTCATTTTGCTTTTAGTTCCTGGTACACATCTCTCATAGAGCACTTATCACCTCATATTCTAATTATTTATTTGTATGTCTGGCTCTCTACAATGAACTGGATGGGGAGGTCTTCAAGGTATATATATATACATATATAAATATGTATATATTATATTTATATATATAACCCTTTGCTGTTGAATTGATTCCAACTCCTAGCGACCCTACAGGACAGAAAAGAACTGCCCCATAGGGTTTCCAAGGACTACCTTGTGGATTCCAATGCCGACCTTTTGGTTAGCAGCGTAGCTCTTAACCACTGCGCCACCAGGGCCCCGTTCAAGGTATAGGCTGAGCCGTATTCATCATTATGTATATCCCCAGGGCTTAGACAATGCCCAACACATATGTGCTAAATATGAAGGATTAAGTAAATTAATTTCAATTACTAGTGTCTAACATTACAGAAGAAGGGATTTAGTTTGGTTCGTTCACTGCTCTATTTTCAGCACCTAAAACAGTACTTATCTGTTGAATGAATGACTATTTAGGATACTAGAATGAATTATTTTCCAGCACTTTAGAATTGTTTTCATAAAAACTATTGATATGTTAATTAGAGAAATTTCTTCCTTTTAGCTCTTCTCTAAAGCAGGGGTCAGTCAGCCAACTTTTTCTGTAAAGAGCCAGATAGTAAATATTTCAGACCCTGCAGGCCATATAGTCTCTGTTGTAAATACTCAACTCTGCCATATTGTAGTGTGAAAGCAGCCATGGATAATGCGTAAATGAATGAGTGTGGCTGTGTTCCAATAAAATTTTATTTACAAAAACAGGTGGTGGGCCTGATTTGGCCTTTAGGTTGTAGTTTGCCGACTCTTGCTCTAAAGTACATTCCTCAGAAGTCTTTTTTCAGCAACAATATTATTATATTACTATATTGCTTTCAAGGAGCCCTGGTGGCGCAACGGGAAAGCGCTCAGCTACTAACCAAAAGTTGGCACCTCCACCAGAGAAAGAACTGCTCCCGTAAATATTACAGCCTAGAAAACACTATGGGGCAGTTCTGTTCTGTCACATGGGGTCACTATGAATTGAAAATCAACTCAACAGCATCTAATGACAACATATGTGCTTTCAAGTAATATTGCCGTTAATTTTTTTTAATCCTATGATTGTCTTTTCACTAAATCAAACTGGCTCTTCTTCCAATTGCATGAATTAATTATGCTTTGTGTGTTAATATAGGGGCAGCTCATGGTCTGTCATCCATTCTCCAGATGCTTCTTTCTTACCATGAGCACCTCAAGCCCTCAGATCAGGAGCTGGTGTGGCAGAGCGTGGACTTCCTCATGGAGCAAGAACAGAACTGCAACTGGCCGCCTGAGCTCGGCGAGACCATTGAGAGAGAGAACGAGCTGGTCCACTGGTGCCATGGAGCCCCAGGTCTCACACATTTTATTACCTGAAAACACTGCTTTCCATCTAGCTTAGCCAAGGGAGTCTCCTTTTCTGAGAACTGAGGGTATTTCTCATCTTATGTCATTACTATGTGAGTTTTCCAAAGCCAAAAACATCTTGATCTTTAAAGGACCTCCAGAAATGATCCTGTATAGCTTTAAATGTATCATCTATATCTATTTGTATATGAAGTTAAAGTAGTACTGTCCGATAGAAATAGAATATGAACCACGTATGGGATTTAAAATTGTCTAGTAGCCTTTTTTCTAAAAAAGTAGAATGAAACAGGTGAAATTAATTTTAATAACCTATATTATATAACCCAATACCCAAAAAAAGTATCATTTGCACATGCAACTAATTTAAAAATTATTGAGATATTTTACATTATTGCTTTCATGCAATTTTTAAAATTCAGTGTCTCTTTTACAGTTATTTCACTTCTAAATTCAGACTAGCCACATTGCAAGTTTGTCCACACTAGACAGTGCCAATCTGGAGCGTGGCAACTCAAAATGTGGTCCCTGGACTAACAGCATGGGCAACCTGGGAGCTTGTTAGAAATACAGAATCTCAGGCCCTACCCCAGACCCACTGAATTAGAATCTGCATTTTAACAAGAGCTCCGGGTGATTTGTATGCGCATGAAAGTTTGAGATGCACTGTTCCATAATTCTTCTTCAAGTGAAGATTTCCATTAGAATCTAATAAAAAGTCTACAGAAAAGAGAAGCCATTCTCAGTGAACTCTCTGGAATTGGGCCTAGGAAAGGTGTCAGACCCCAACTTCCCCTCCCTCCCTTTTTAAAAAAAATCTCATTACACTGTTAATTAGACCTTATGAGAAGGGACAATTTGAAAGAAGTTAAATTTCAATAAATCAATCTTGGTTAGTTGGCCAGGGGAGAGATTTAAAACAGCAAATAAAACAAGATGGCTGGATTCTGAGCGCATTTAATCTTCAAGGCTGCGTGCTTTGATGCCACCAGCACAGCTTCAAAATATATTTGACTTCTCTTCAATCTGATGTCTGATTGCTATTGCCTCCTTTTCCCTCTTGCCTAATTAATGTTCTTTATTCCAGCTGTAATTTCATTTTTCCTTGATACAATTTGAGTTGATGGATAATATAAGCTTTAATCCCTTGGCCATATTTCCTCTGCCCACCACATATACTTAAGGAAGGGACTTCAACGGCACCTATGCGTGCTTGTACCAGTGCCAGGGTATTGTGCATTATGTCCAGGCTAAATGCTACTGGTTGTAATTTGAGCCCATTTCTTCTTGTTTTGACCTTTATAGAGAAAAACAGCAGTTATTTACCATCCTGGAAATAATTTCTCTTCATGTTATGCTCAACACTCCCATTTCCCATTCCCTTTAATCATTGTCAGTGATGGTCTCTGGAAAACCTCCAAGTACTTCAGGGTCCTTGAATTTTGGAGATGTCCCAAACCAAATACAGAACATTTTAAAAGGACTCATTGTGCTAATAAAGGCCCTGAAAAGAGTGGGAAGCTAATCTGCTAAAGTGAGTGACTGGATCAGTTAATTGATATGGTTGTCTTGAAGGGCACTTATTCTATCCTTTTTTATATACCAAATATCATCTGCCTTTGTAAATTATGTACCATAACAGTACAGCATAGGATTATTCATCACTCTGGGGACTTTATCACTCATGTTCAGTATCTTCGTAAGATTAAACATAGGTTCCAAAGCAAAACCATTCAATCATGAACCACTGGACTACCAAAAATACACCAATTCACCAATGAATAATGAACTAAATGGGGCCCATCATTTCTGCCAACTCCCACAGGCTAAAAATAGCATTAAGAGTGGCTATAATAACTCTGATAAGTGTAGGGTCAAAGACCATCAGGATCTCTTTGAAGTCAGCAAAAGTAAACTCTCTAAAAAATGTAAAATAGGAGATGGCCCAGAAAAATAATTTTCATTCATTTGAGGAAAATATTTTTTGAGAGTCGATTTATGAACAGGACAGATGGTTTGGGGCAGCAGACCAATTATGTGATTAAAAACCTGCCACAGTTAATCCACAAGGTGGAACTTCATTAATGATATTTTATCTCCCCCTGCAATTATTTCCTATTGACTTTTCTTCAGCCGATCTCTACAGGTGACAGCCCTAGTTATCATTCACACAGTGTAGAAGTAGTTTTTGACTCTAAATTAATAACTCTGGGTTCTAATTGTAGCTTCAACGCTAACCAGCTTCTTTTATGCCTTTGTCTCTTCATCTGTGAAATGAGCACTTTGAGATGGAGTAGTGGAACTTAATCTTTTTATTACCACAGACCCTTTAATACTGTGGACCCTTGCCATTCCTGAGGGATATGTCCCAAACGCTTTGCAAACACCTACATTTATACATACCCAGTGTGGCATATACCTTCTCTTATGAAATGCAATAAAGTATAATAATCAGATTCATGTGATCTCTTCATAGCCTTAATGATTCTGAAATATAAGGACTAAAGTCATTTGCAAAACTATTAAAATAAGTGCTGTGGCTAAAATAAACTGTAGACAGCATTATATTACACCGTTACTGTGGTAACAATGACAGTGCATTTCCTTTGCTCTGCGAGGAACACAGGTGTCTCACATGTGTGTGTGTTTGTTTAATCATTTCCCAAGGGCTCTTGCATAAGAGACTTTGAATAGGGAACAAGGGCTTGTGGAGTGAAGGTGTCACTGGTCTCTAGGCTTTGTATGCCTCAGTGAAATTACCGATTCCAGAATGGACGTACATGGTGATTTTCCAGTATGCTGAAAACACAGTATTAAGTCTGGCTTCAACCAGGTTCTGCTAGATCCCGTATTTTGAAAGATTTTGTTTCTCAAACCATATTTATTAAGTAATAATTAATTCCCTTCCCCAGTTGCATTTTGCAAAGACATATATCATTGCTGACTCAAGTTTCTTATCAATGCACGATAAAACAGTGTTACCATGATGCAATGATACGGTTACCATCAAAAGCAAAGGAACTCATAAAAAAAGAGGAACAGAATCCAGTATTTCTTCCATTTAGGTTAAGCAGCCTTAGTGTGGATTTCATTAGGTCAGGTTAGGAACCAACAGGATTAGAAGTTTCTCAAAGTTATTTTCATGTACCAGTCTGTGATTCAGGCTGCAGGCACAGGCCCTTTTTCTCTGGCTGGAACCACAGAATCAGTACCTATTAAGTTGTCTAGGGCTAATGGCCTGGTACAACAATTACACCGTCTCATCCCTTCTTCCTTCCACATCTCTCATCCCCACCTCAGTGTCAACCTGTGCTGGGGTAAGAAGTGAGGACTTTTAGGGCCAGCGTAGATTTATGGAGCCCTTGCCTTGTGCCAAACACCATGCTACAGACTAGGGGATGAAAAATTAACAAGATACAGTTCCTACCCTTGGGTAATTTGCATTATACTAAGGGAGGCAAGCATTTAAACATAAAATTTTAATTACATACCGTATAAGTGCTAAGATTTGTATAGAGAGTGATAGGAATCCAGAGGAGGGATTCTTGGTGCTGCATATGGGTTCAGGGAGGGCTTCCTGGAGGAGGTGATGCCTGAGATAAGTTAGCCAGGCCAAGACAGATGGGAAGGTTGTTCCAAGAAAAGTGAGCAACATGGGCAGTCAGAGACATGAAACCACATGGCAAAGGAAAGGCCACTGTGGGTGTTTTGGTTTACTGTAGTGAGTCGATTAGTCATTGACAGAAATCTGCTAGGGGTTGCATAGCATAGCCTCCCATCTGACTGAGAGCAAGATTCCCAAGAAGGAGGCAGCTGTGAGCTGGATGTTTGTTAGCAGCCAACTGTTATAGCAACTGGAAAATGGGGCAACTGCTGGTAAAAGGAATCTGGGCAGGACACAACAGCATTCACTACAGCTGGCTAACTCTTCCTTATCCTTCAGCACTCAGGTTAGATGGTGCTACTCCCTCTAGTAGGCCTTCCCTACCACCAAATGTGGGTTAGGGGCTCTCCTGTGTGCTCTCACACACCTCTATTACCCCTCATGTAGCCTAATTATACCCCAGTTAAGCTGTAAGCACATGGAGGTGGGAACTTTTTAAAACCTTAGCACCTATTACTGTGCTAGAGTATAGTAAATTCTCAATTCATATCTAAACAGTCACTAAGTCCTGTCAAGTGTCTCTTTCATCAGCCCCTTTTCCATCTTTCTGCCAACATGATCAGCTCATGATTATTTTATTTCCCTTTTTTAGGTTTTTCCCAAGCCCTCTGTAGGGTATTTTGACCGTAAACAAATATAAAAGCAAACCAGTCCACAACAAAAACACTTCCGCTTCCAGAATAAAGTGCAAGCTGCCTAACTGGGTTTGTAAAACCATCCATAATCTAAACCAAACATATCCTTCCACCCCACTAGCCTGTTGGTTAGAACAGTGCCCCACTGGCATCCATGTGGCTTATCCTTCTTGGCTCCAAATCTTTGTCCTTGCTGATCTTGGCACCTAGAATGCCCTCCCTGCCTCATCTTGGGCCTGGTGTTTCCTGTGTGTCCTATGAAGTCCAGAACAAGCCCTACTTCCATCTAAGGCTTCTCCTGTCTTCCTAAGGGAACATCCTCCTTTCTGAAACATCTAGTATTATTGACAGTACCACTCATTTTATGACCCAGCAGTGTCATGAACTGCATATCCTATTATGTATCAGTCACATGTGCATATGTTTCTCTTTCTAAACAGTACCTTCTTGAAGAGCAAGTGCCACATTTAACATTTATTTTATATACCCCAGGGCTAGGACTGGCTACATAATTTGGGAGGCCCGGGCAAAATTAAAGTATAGGTCCCTTGCTGAAAAATTATTAAAAATTTCAAAAGACCGAAAGTTGGTTGTTTGAAAAGACCAACAAAATTGAAAAACCATTGGCCAAACTGACAAAAGAAAAGCAGGAGAGGAGACAAATAACCCAAATAAGAAATGAGATGGGGG